TGGTTATGTCTCTGACAAAGGTTTAATAACCAGAATCTACAGAGAACTCAAATGTATTAGCAAGAAAAAAAACAAGTGATCCCATCTCAGGGTGGGTAAGGGACTTGAATAGAAATTTCTCTAAAGAAGATAGGCGCATGGCCTACAAATATATGAAAAAATGCTCTCCATTCTTAACCATCAGAGAAATGCAAATCAAAACTACTTTGAGGTATCACATAACCCCAGTAAGATTAGCCCATATCACAAAATCCCCAAACCAGAGATGTTGGTGTGGATGTGGAGAAAAGGGAACACTTCTACACTGCTGGTAGGAATGCAAATTAATTTGTTCCTTTTGAAAAGACACTTAGGGAACTAAAAATAGACCTGCCGTTTGATCCTGCAATTCCTATATTAGGTATATATCCAGAAGACCAAAAATCAAATTACAACAAAGATATTTGTATCTGAATGTTTATTGCAGCCCAAATCATAATTGCTAGGTCATGGAAGAAGCCCAAATGCCCATCGACCCACGAATGGATCAATAAATTGTCATAGATGTACACCATGGAATATTATGCAGCCCTAAAGAAAGATGGAGACTTTACCTCCTTCATGTTTATATGGATTGAATTGGAAAATGTTCTTAACAAAGTATTTCAAGATGGAAGAAAAAGTATCCAATGTACACAGCCCTATTTTGAAACTAATTCATAGCTTTCATAGGAATGTCATAACCTAATTATAGCCTTAGAATATGGGAAGGAGGGTGGGAGAGGGGAGGTGAGGGAAGTATATGGGGGGGAGGGTGATGGTTGGGATCACCTCTATGGTTTATTTTACAAGGGTACAAGCGAATCTTTCTAAAAGCAGAGTATGAATGTCTTAACTCAATAACTAAGAAAATGACATGAAGGTTATGTTGACCAGTTTGGTGAGAGCATTTCAAAATGTATATGAAAACAGCACACTGTACCCCATGATTGCTTTAATGTACACAGTTATGCTATAAGAAATAATGAAGGAACTCTGAATGAGAAAAAAATAAAAATAAAATAAAAACTGGAAAAAAAATGTAGAGTTGGGTGGGGCCATCATAAAGAAAGAAAACACTTCTGAGAAACTCAGTGTGTGGGTATCTCTCCTCCCTCTTGCCATCATTAACAAAAACTATACACAGATGAGAATGGTACAAGGGGTTGGATCAATACATGAGAGCACAGCTCAAGGGGAACGCAGATGAAAGATGATATTAGATCTATTGATGAGTCAAAAGTGGTAAGAGACTACCTTCCACAAATGGAATGAAATAAACTTGCTGGAAGACCGGTCACACAAACTTAGAAGAAAGGAAGAGAACATGCACCTTGCTGATCCTCACTGGATGGCACAGAGAAGCAGAAACCTGACAATGGTAGGAAAAATAAGAAAGTCAAGATTGTTATTGAAATAAGAATAAAATATGTAATCAGGAAACCTGCACAAAACCATCAAAAGAATATGTTTGACCAGAAATTTCCTACAAAAGAAAGAGGACCTTATGCTTCTAGTTCCTGGCCTAGTTCTTGTTGTTTTGTTTTCTTTTTGTTGACTGCTTGCAGTTTATTTTCCACTTGGTGCACAGCAAACACGAGTTGTCAGGAAAGCTCAAGTGTGGCTTGAACAGTAAAGAGCCTCTCTGGCTTTCCTTTTTGTGCTTGCTCTGTTGTCATGGAAGAACCCAACTGCTTCTCTCTTGCTGCAGCCTGCCTAGTCCACAGGGGCTGGGCCCCAACTGCCTGGAGCCTCTACAAGCCTGGGGCTGGTGGTGGCTGCTCAGGTCAAGGTGGGGGCCCTTCGCTAGGCTGGTTGCTGGACTGCTTCCTGAGCTTTCTAGAGCCAGCCTACAGGTGGTCTTGGAGGATTTCTGAGTGCTCCCCCACAGAGGCCATGAACAAGGAGAGTGAACTTTCAGAAAAAGAAGCTCGCCCATCTGTGGCCTTGGAAATACCCAGGTGGTTGAGGATGGCTTCGGGAACATGGCATGGCACTCTGAGGAGCTGTTGCTGGTGGTGGAACTCAGGAGGACTGGTGGTCGTCCTGAGACCCCAAGGAAGTGCCAGGACCCAAACATGTGAGCAGACATGCAGGGGCTCTAAGCCTATTAAATTACACAAGTTGGCAGAATTTGTCAGTTTCCGAGGCGCTGGGACACTAGTCATAGTCAAAGTTGGTAGCTAGTAATTTTTATACCTTTGCATATTCTTTATCATAAATGCCACCCATTCTCAATTTCATTTCTAATTATCTATATCAGAACATCATCTTCACGTGATTGACACTCCACTGTGTAATTAACAGCTAGGCTTCCCAGGTTTAAATCCTGGCTCTGCACCTACCATTTATGCTGCTGGTAATTATTTCGCCTCTGTGTGTTTCTTCTTTACAGTGGCATAGTAATAGTACCTACCTCATTTTTTTTCATTTTTTGAGGATTAAATAAGTTAATGTATGTAATTTTCTTCAAATAGTTTTTTGCATAGAAAAAGCTATGTGAGTATCAAGTACCAGGAATATTACCAATTATTAATACTTATTTGTATGCTCACAATTCTTATAATGACCCTGTGAGAAAGATATTTCGCAGACAAAAACATGTAGTATAGATTATAAAGTTTAAGGAAACTTGTTCAAGACTACACAGCTGGCAAGGAACGCAGTCATGATTCAAACCCAGTTCCCTCTCATGTTCATTCTACCTCCACACAATATTTTCCTTTGAAGATCATCACATCGGTGTGAACCATTAATTCCTAATTCGCATTCTCTATAATGTTTAATTGCCTGAGCATATATAAATAATTCACATGTTCCTTCATGTAATTCTAATAAATGTCTGCACATTGTCTTGCATTGGTTTAAGCAGATATGTGAATGTAGGCCTCTGAAGTTCCCTGAACAGTGACCCTCAGTTCAATGTGGTGTCCCCAGAGATGCTCTATCCAGGAGTCATGCCAGCCAGTGTGGGTTCCCCAGCAACATTCAGCACACACCTCATAGGTTTGGCCTGGCAAAAACTTACCTGAGGAATGCAGATGTCAGTTCCGCACAGGTGTAATATGTCACCTGCCAAATGCCCCACATCTTGATACTATCACTTTGGGAGTTAGGATTTCAAGATTTGAATTTTGGCATGACACATTCACATCAGAGCAGAGAAGACTCTATATAGAAAAGCCACAGAAATAGAAGAGATTTGGAAGGTGAGCTGGAGGAATAATAAAGACTAAAATCAATCAATAGGCAAATCGGCAAAGTCTGACGGTTACTTTCACCTTTGAATTTCTAAGAGGTTTTCATAGCCTTTGTCCAGTAAGGCCTACAGAAGGCTTTAATAAACACAATTGCCATCCGTAATTCTTTTTAAAAAACATATCTCTTTCTCAGCTTCTCCTTTACATCAGCAAGGTGCCCATGCTATGGCTTGACTGTGTCACCCAAATATCATGTTCTGGGAACGTAATTGTCAATTTCTTATATTGATGGTATTTGGAGGTAGGGCCTTTGGGAAGTAATTAGGATTAGATAAGGTCATCAAGGTAGGACCCCCACCCCCCCACCCCCATGCTGGGACTGGTGACTTTATAAGAAGAAGAAGGCAGACATGAGTGGGCATGTACATCCTTGACCTCTCACCACGTGATGCTCTCTATCATGTCGTGAGGCAGCAAGAAGGCCCTTACCAGATGTTGGCACTGGCCTTCTCAGCCTCCAAAAAGTTTCTTTATGAATTACCCATTTTTAGGTATTCAGAAATAGCAATAGAAAATAGACTAAGATACATCATTACAAAAACAAACAGAAAATCTGGTTTAAAGAAAACCTAGAGCAGGTTTTCCTGCTCTGAGTTCTCCAATAAGTGACCCATCACTGAAGTGTCACACCAAGGAAATATATACAAAGTGACAGTTCACCAGGCTTTTAATCTTTAACTTTACAATTAAGATTTTTAACCTTTACTCAGAATTTAATACATGGGAGGCATAAGATCAAACAAATCTTTATTATTATTATTATTGTTTGGGAGTCATTGAGAGTACAAAGAATTAGCTTACACTGATTGCACTTGTTAGATAAAGTCCCTCTTACAATTGTGTCCTGCCCCCAAGAGGTGTGTCTCACACTGTGACCCCCCCCACCCCTCCTCTTCCCTTCTCCCCATTCCCTCATTCCCCTACTTCCCCCCCCCTTTATATTAGCTCATCTACTGCCTTCATATTAGAATCCAGTACATTGGATTCTTGCTTCTACATTCTTGTGATGTTTTACTAAGAAGACTGGGTTCCACCAAACAAATCTTATAAATAAAACAGAGAAATGGAGATAAAGCAACAAAACTTCAACATACAGACCTAAAAAAAGCAAAATATTGGAGCTCCTGCAGTTTTAGTCAACATTCAACCTACTGAACCTGTTACCTCCTTACTTCCTTCTGTTTATGATAGGTAAGTATCTAGGACAGAAAGAATATCATCCACTAGAGAAAACAGGAACACCAGTGGCTAAAACAAGACAGCAAAGTTCTTGGGAGGATGTCATTCAAATCTCTTAATAGTAGTCATAAGCCTGGGGATACTTTCTTTCTGTAAAAAAAGGGAGGAGAGAGAAATAAAGATAAACATTATAGGTAAGAGTTTCGTGTTACAGCAGTGTTTTTCAATGTTTTTTATCTCATGGCACACTTGAACCCATAGTTAAACTTCAGTGGCACACTTAAATTATGTTGATTAAAAACAAAAGAGCTAAAAACAAAAAATATACTTACTGTGTTTCGAACTTCTTTCAAAAATAATTTAATTATTGATCTTTACAAATTTTCATGGCATACCTAAGATCTGCTTGAAAATCACTGCATTAGAGGCAGACCCTACATTTAATTACAATTTATTTCCTAACATCGCATAGGAAGTAAGAGTTGCAAAAAATGAATTATTCGTACCACCTAAGAGTAGTAGCCTTGAAATAATTCATTCACTACTACAGGGCTCTCCTTCATTTATTAGATGCAATTCTAATTTACCCATTCATTGAATCAATAAATACTGTATGAGGAATAATTAAAAAGAGAAAAGGAGAGTAAATGGGGTGATATTTCCTACTAACTTCCAGAGAGAGAAGGAAACAGAAGCAAATGGGCCTGGGGCCTTAGCATAGCACTTCTGCGTTTGTTAAGCCTGTGAAGCAGAGACACAAGGAAGACGCGCTGATGTCATTGGGGCCGCAAATCCTACCCTGTCCCAGTGTGCTCTGGAAGGAAGTCATCCCAGGCCAAGGAAAAGCTGCAGAGTCTGTGTCTTAGCTCATGAGCCTATTGGAGTGGAAGGGTGGAGGATGTTTCTAATGTAACCTAAGAAAAGGAATCAAGACATCCTATCTTCTCATCTCAAAGTTCCAGGTTATTTTGCATCCCTGGAGCCATGGTGATAAGACTCAAAACTCAAGAAGTAACACCTGTTCTAAGAGGCTACTGTATGTTAGGAGCCAGAAGAGAGAGGAGAACTTTATCCCCGCTCATGAGAGATTCACGGTCATATAACAAGATAAATAATGATTTCAGCAAGGCAGCGTATTCACAGATATAATGTGTTTGAGGTGCTATGAAGAGTGTGTTTTTCCAGGGCAGTCACGCTACACTCTTCCAGGGCTGCCAGTCACATTAGACTCTATGTGAACAACCTGAGCTGCTGTGTGTGGTGGTTCTGCTTTCCATTCTCCAGCTCCTGTGCCATTTCACAAGAATCAAAAAGGGGTCCCAGAGTTCCACTCATTCCAAACTAGTCAGCTCCACCCTGGCCCCTTCATCACTGAGCATGAAAATGGGACCTCAGCACTCTTTGTAATCCTGGCAACATCTGCAACCTTCTAGTAACGTATTGTAATGTAATGTAATCCCCACATACATTAACCGCCCTGCCATGGTCTACCTTGAGACCCATGTCTAGTATTATGACTTTTTTCCCTATTCATATTTAACCATAAGAAGCCAAAGACCCCCAGTTCATCCTTCATCTCACAGACTCGAGCCCATACAGCTCTGTACCTTCCCTTTTCTTATGCCATCTCCAACCCACTCCTAACTTTTGAAACCCTTCTTTTGTGCCTTCTGGAACTTGCTATCAATCATTAGCAAACCCCTTCAATTTTCAGCTTCTGTTTATACTGTTCTAACTGAAACCTGTCTCTCCTCTGAGGACACTTTCTCCTTTACAGCCCTTCCAAGTGGGGCTTGTTTTGTTTACAACATCTTCGTACACTGGGGTAGGCAAATTTCTTGCTTCTCATTATGGCTAGATCATTCTCCCTCCTCCCTCTCTAAAAATCTCATGTCATTACACTTTACTCTTTTATATTACAGTTTTTTTTAGCTTCCTCCCTCCTCCCCCACCATTCCTTAATTTTGGCTTTGGCTCCATCAAGCTTTCCACCTCTTCTGTTATAATTCCTGCTGTCACTACCTCATATATGATCTATCCTTGATTTTCTTTGGGCCTTGACATTTTCTCCTTCAAAGATCTTTTTCTCTATTATTTTAGCCACCTCTGCCTTGGTGAGAACTTAGATTATAATTAGTACTAATCACAACCTCTCCACTGTCTCAATTTCAAGCATCCTGCTCTTCCACCACTACCTCCTATCCTTCCAACCCACTCTTTCTAGTATTCCAACTTGAAAAATACTTTGCCTGCCATAGGGACCTCAAAGACAATGATTATAATACTTTTTTTACTGCCCTTCTCCCACTTTATGTCCTTTATCCTTCCTGACTTAGCTGAGATTCCATGTGGATCATTATAATCACTTTCTGGCGTGCATCTGTCTTGCTTTGTCATGTTTGCATGGCAGAACCCCAACATCTCCTGAACCCAGCTGTCCTCCCATTCCATGTCTCTACTCAAGCAGGTACATGAAATGAGGAAAAAATACAAAACCATGCTGAGTATTCTCACTTTAGATTCATGACTATGAATCTCAAAAGTACCTTTAGTACTACCCAGGATGCCAGGTATATGTCTTTAGTTGTTTTCTCCTTCTCTCTTACATGACTTTCACTCTTTCTCCTCAGCACTGCCCTCCCCAGCCTCACACTCAGCTGATGTACTGGCCCCTATTTCACTAAAAAAATTAAAAGCAAGTAGAAGAGAATTTTCTCAAGCTTTCGTTATCACCCTTACCCACCTCTCTGCATCTACGTCCACATACCATACCGTACCTCTTTTGTGTTACCTTCCCTAAGGCACATCTTCTATTTGTGCATTAGACCCCATCCGTCCCTCTGCCTCCTAAAAGACATTATTCTGCACTTCTTCCCCTTCCCCTACATCATCAGGTTTCCCCTTTCCATCTGTTTCTTGTCAGTGCACAAATACGCTGATATTTCTTCCATCTAAAGGAAAAAGAAAAAAGAGACCCTGTAACTTCTCTAGTTCATACACATTTCTCTGCTACCCCTCTTTGAGGCAAACTCTTCCTTATGTCAGCACTCCAGCCAGTGATCTATCTCAGTTCCCCAAAGTTGCCCACATTCCTTCTCTCAAATGCCCTATTGCCAATCTCCATCTTACTTGACTCAGAATGACAGTCCAACGCTCTGTCCTCCCTAAAAGCCTTTCTTCGTTTACCTTGCAGCTCATGACACTCTTCTAGTTTCCCTCCTACTTTACTGTGTCCTCCTCTCGTTCTCCGGCACTAGTTTCTCTTTCTCTCCTGACTGTAAATGTCAGAGGGTGCCAGGGCTCAGTCCCTGGGCCGCTATTCTTCTCTATCCATTCCTGTTTCCTAGTTAAGCCCACTCATCCCATATAGATGAAATGCCATCTATACAACTCCTAAGTTTATGTTTCAAACCTAAACCTTTCTCTTAAACTCCCGTTTAACATCCAACCACCGATTCAACATCTGTCCTCAAATGTCTCAAATGAGCATTTATAACTTATAATGTCCCAAACCAAACTCCAAGACTTCTTTAATAAATGGTGATTTTGCTCTTCTAGTGACTCCAGGCAGAAGTCTTTGGCATCATTGACTCCTCTCAGACTCTCACACCTATCACCTAATCTGCCAGCAAATCCTATTTGCTCTACCTTTAAAGATATGCACATAATTTCTTCTTGTCACTTCTACTCCCAACACCCTTGCTCCAATTTACCATTTTCTCTTACCTGGATTATTATAATAACCTCGTAACCAGTCACCCTGCTCCTATTCTCACCTCATTTACATATATTCTTAAGAGTACTCAGAAAGATCTTTATAAAATATATAAGCCAGATCATTTCACACCTCTGTTCAAAACCTTCTAGTGGCTTTCCATCTCTTCCCATGGGATGAGCAAAAGCCAAAACTCTTACAAAGGCACCATTCAATCTATCCTCCTATTGCTTTTCTGATCTCACCTCCTATATTCTCTCACACTCTCATTCTAACCACTGGCTCCCTGGCTGCTCCTCATATCCACCCACTCGTGCCTGCCTCAAGGCCTAGCTCCCTCACCTCCTTCAAACTTTTGCTGGATTTAACCTCTCAGTGAGGCTTTCTCTGGATAGCCAACTTAAAATTACAATCCTCCCTTCTCCTTTCCTCTTTCTATCTGCCTTTCCTGCTTTATTTTTCTTTATATGACATATTTACCATAGGATACATGCCACAGATATGTTTTATTTGTATTGTAATATACATACAGAGAGGAGCATATAAGTGTCCAGCCTAACTAATTTGCCCAAACCAAAAACTGATTTTCAGTTTGGGGAAATTAGTTAGTATTATGACTTTTGAAGGAGAAAATCTCAATGATTTGAAGGAGAAAATCTTTAATCTTTGAGGGAGAAAATGTCAAGGCCCAAAGAAAGTCAAGGGATAGATCATATGCGAGGTAGTGACACCAGGAATTATAAAGAAGTGATGGAAAGCTTGATGGAGCCAAAGCCAAATTAGTTTGCCCAAACTGAAATTCATGAGTGAATGAGTGAAATATTGAACAAATGAAAATGACAGAAAAAGAGGTAAGAAAGGTTTAAAGTCCAAGTCAAATCTTGAAGAATGAACAGGAATGTGTGAGGCAGATCAAGAAAAGAAAGGCACTCTAAAAAGTCAGAGTCTGTACAAAGGCTTGGCA